GATAGATAGATAGATAGATAGATAGATAGATAGATAGATAGATAGATAGATAGATAGATAGATAGATAGATAGATAGATAGATAGATTTCAATATACTATAACCATACATTAAAAATATATAAAAAGCTGCTTTTTAAATGACTAAAACAGCTTCAAACTCAAAAACTGTTAGATTAAGCAGCAGAAGAGCAGTTTATACAGATGGACTTGTTGTGTTAATAAAAAAAATCCTAAAACTAAAAGTAAGACATCAGTTTATCTGGCACCTTTTCCTGTGTGGAAGTCTTTGGWTTCAGTTGAACCTGTTTCTACTGGAGGAAAACCTAGAAGTGAGACAAAGGTAACAAGCAACTATTTTATTCACTCGTTTTTTCAGATAAAGAAAGAAAACGTGCTGATGGCAGCTTGTTATCATGTCAAGTAAATTACTGGTTTTAGGCTATTTGATAAAAAATAAATAAAAACATATTCTTGTGAATTTCATGTCGCTGATGGAGTTAGAATAATAAAAAAGACTTTTATTGAACCTCGTAAATTAATTAGCAAAAAAGGAGGAAACTTGTCCTGTGAATATCAGAACTTACATGGCTCAAATGTTTAGTTAAATAAACAAAACTACATTTCAGTATTCGCTTTTATTTTTTAAACTAATTTGCAAACCAAACATGGTGCTTTATTCATCTTATATGTCTGGGATTTTTGTTGTTTTTGGGGAGTTAAGTTTGTGCAGTTTATCAAAGCACACCTTACAGCCCTGTCACACTATAATGTTTTAGACAACTTATGACATTATTTTTTGTTTAAAACTTTACTAATAAAATAAAATATTACTAATAAAATTTATACATTTGATCAGTTTTTTTACAGTATGTACTCGCCTAAAAGAGGCTTCCCGTTGAATTTTTAAATTCTATTGTCAACGTAGATGTTTTTAAAATTTTTATACGTTGGCATCTAAACCGTAGAGTGACAGGGCCTTTAAATAAGATTTAAACAGTGTTGTGGCAGAAATGCGGGCAGCTGTGTACACAAGAACACAGCCAAAAAGTTGTCGTGTCTTCAGCAACCTGACTTTGATCATGCCCCAAGCAGCCTGCAGACACTGTCAGCAGAGAGACAGTTTAACACGCCTGTCTTCAGTCCTACTGTTCTGTGACATTCCCTTGTGCTGCGGGCCAACTAGCTGCTTGATTTCAATCTTGCTCCATAAGCAYACCGGATGCTGTCAGAGTCATGGCTCGTATCTGCAGAGGGATCTGTGTGCAGCTCTGAAACCCTGCAGAGCTAATGGACTAACTGCCATTTCAAATCAATAAATGATTTTTTTTCATAAAGCAGTAACAGCCAAGATGGATGACTCAGGCGGTTTGAATAATCCAAGATATTATTGAAGTTAGCTGAACTTTTCCATGATGTGCGCCTTCTACCAAAAACAACTGCAACTTAGTAACACGATAATTTAGTCAAATTTCATAATTAGCTTTTTTAACCCTAAGAAATTTCAAATAATTACAACCACAGTTTAGTTGGAACTTGTCTTTAAACTGGCTGCAGACATGTATTCACCGTGTGAGCCACTCACCTTCTTGTGGCTCTTGAGGACTGAAGGAGTGACGAAAGCCTTCTCACACAGGTCACACTTGTACTTCTTGTGGCCGTCATGCACCACCTGGATGTGGACGTTGAGCGTGTCCTTCCTCTTAAAGGTGGCGTCACACTGATCACACTTGAACGTCCTCTCACCTGTGGCGGGGGCAGAGGATCATTTGGAAGGAGCTGCTTTCTGTTAGCTTTTGTTGAGTTTCTAAAACACAGTCATCACGCACAGCAAGAGGAGACCCAATTTCAGCAGAGCGATTGTGTGGGCAGAAAACTACATAGAAGAGTTTTATTGCACCAGACAGCTCCATACAATGGTCCTTTTTTCTTTGAAAAAACATGGCCTATTTTAATTATCATTGGACTGAAGAGTCAGACAGCTCTATCGAGGCACAATCTCAGCTGTTTGCAGAGTAAAACACGTAAGCTTCCCGCTTCCACAAAACAGTCACTTTTTTTGTAAAACCCATGTTCCTATTATATAGAGATCATTCAATTTTCAAAGTAGTTCAGATGGAGGCAGAAAGTGGTTACAAGGCCATGCTCCACTCTTAGATTACCAGGCCTGATGATGGTCAGCTCAATAAGATGCAACACCAGAGGAAGCTGATATTCGCTGTGTTTTCAATCAGCCCAAGACGGATAACAATTAATGTCAACAACACCCTGCAGACAGATTCCATTAATACAAACAGCAGAGTTGCTGATATTTAGCCACACAAACAGGCACAATCATTGTAATTTAAGCCTTTGGGCCACAACCCACCATTGGGCAACGATTGCCACCTTGCGGGCCTCAAAAGAAAAATCTGTATTTCAGCTATGGGCCATGAGGGCCGCAAGATGTTGGTTTTCAGTTGATTGAGTTGCAAAACACTTGCTCACCACTAAGGGCATTGAAATGACTGCTGTACTCGCGCTCCACCCTTAAGATGCCCCATGACAACCAACAACACAGACTGTGCAGCAGCTTCGTCATCAGTTTACTGAACTTCAGGACAAGATTTAGGCCATTGTTAGTGTCTTGAGTGACCATATTTTAAAAATAAATCAATATTAAAATATAAAAGCTGCCACAAATACACTCACTGGCCACTTTATTAGGTACACCTTGCTAGTACCGGGTTGAACCCCCTTTTGCCTTCAGAACTGCCTTAATCCTTTGTGGCATGGATTCAACAAGGTAGAGGAAACAATCCTCAGACTGGTCCAATTTGACATGATAGCATCACGCAGTCGCTGCAGATTTGTCGGCTTCACATTCATGATGGGAATCTCCCGTTCCACCACATCATAAAGGTGCTCTACTGGATTGAGATCCGGTGACTGTGGAGCCATTCAAGTACAGTGAACTCATTGTTGTGTTCAAGAAACCAGTCTGAGATGATTCACACTTTATGATTGTGTGTTATCCAGCTGAAATTAGCCATCAGAAGATGGTACACTGTGTTCAGGAAGGGATGAACATGGTCAGCAACAATACTCAGGTAGTGTTGACACGATGCTCATTTGGTACTAACGGGCCCAAATGTAGCAGGAAAATATCCCCCACACCAGTGCACCACCACCACCAGCCTGAACTGTTSATACAAGGCAAATGGATCCATGCTTTCATGTTGTTGATGCCATATTCTGAACCTACCATCCGAATGTACCCCATCCACCTCAAGGTTGGGCATGTTGTGCGTTCAGAGATGCTCTTCTGCACAATTCAGTTGCAATGAGTGGTTATTTGAATTACTGTTGCTGTACTATCAGCTTGTACCAGTCTGGCCATTCCCCTCTAACCTCTGGCATCAACAAAGCATTTGTGCCCACAGAACTGCCGCTCAGTGGAAATTTTCTCTTTTTTGGACAATTCTCTAATGCCGGTTTGAACTGCAGTAGATCGTCTTGGCCAAGTCTACATKCCTAAATGTATTCAGTTGCTGTAATATGATTGGATGTTTCTACATTTGYGTTAATGGGCAGTTGGACATATGTACCCATTGATCTATATTACTGGACTGGACATCGCCTATAGCCGCTATGGCTAGCGACGTGCTGTCATAGGAGCTCATTGCTATGCATTGAGTCATGTCAACAAAATGGTAGAATTATCTATTTAATGGCACATTTAGTCTAACAATTGAAAACATGGATGAAATAAGAAATATGAAAAATAAAATTCATATTAAACATATTGAGGTTTTTTTATAAAATTGTTGGACAAAAAATGTATCGAGATGTAGCCTTTCGTATCGCCATCCCTGTGTCATGATATGTATTGTCAAATTCTTGCCAATAAAAAGTCCTATACGTTCTATGTCTGCTTCAAGAATGGTGTGAAAGTACATTTATATGAGCATGTATGTAGTGTACAGAATAGTTAATTAATGAGTTATTAGGCATGAATAAACAATGAGTATTTTGGTTTTGGAAGAAATAAGCCTTTATGGGTAAAGCATTAATAAAGGTGTTAATGTATAGCTTACTCAGAATGAATCATTGTTAAATAGTGTTTTCAGGTTAACTAACCATTTATTAATGATTAAGTAAGGCTAAATAAGGTGTAGTTATTATAAAGTGTTAACAGAGTCTTAAATCAGTTTAAAAAACAGCCTAGGAAAGCGGCCAGCTGGGACAGCTGCTTTAAATTCTCCACAACAAAGCCACATGTGCACACACTAATAATGATGGGGAAAAAACACAAACCTCATACAGAAAAGACCCAGTAGAGGTTTGAATCTTTGAACGTCAAAAAGCATTTTTAAGAGTGAGAAAATGACTAAGGAATAAAGAATAATCCTCACATATACAATGCCACACCGCCACTGCTTGCACCACGCTTAACTGAGGACCCCAATATGCTGCCACCACAGTAATAAATCATTGAAGACCACTATGTGTTAAAGTTATTTGCACTTCATTTTGATTTTAGAGAATTAAAGTTACACCTAGTTTGGAAGTATTGAGTCCTAGAGTGCAAATCTGAGATATATTTCTAAAAAATACTATAAGTTTATTTAATTCTTTCATACACACAGAAAGAAAAACACACAAACGTGATCCTGACAGCCCTAAACAGCCTAAAACTCAACACGATCCAAGTCCGCCTGGGACAGAGGCAGGAAATACTTCCAGCTTTACAATCTCTTTGTTATCTGCTTCAGTTTGGAAACTTAGAGCTGCATCCTGCCAAACCTCAACCATAACCAACTATCCTCACAGAGAGGGTCTGTCAGACTCTTGCAGAGGGAGGACACACGTTACCTGAAACAACAAACAGAGGAAAGGCTGAGCTGACAACTAATCTAGACTGGTTTTAATGGCAATAGTTGTAGACTTTCTACTGATAAAAAAATGAAAGAAAAACAAACTAAAAGAAAAAGAAAAGACAAAAAGCCTTCTTACTGTTTGTATCAATTGTAAACATAAAGCTAGTTAAGCAACAAATCAACACTCCACTTGGCATTTGCTGTTAAAAATGGCTTATATACAGCGGGTAAAATAAGTATTGAACACGTCAACATTTTTCTCAGTAAATATATTACTAGAGG